CAGCGCGCGCGCCCGCCGCCATGCCGTTAGCTCGGCGTCACGTGCGCAGAGCGCAGTTCCCTCACTCCTGGGAGACCGTGTCCGTCCGCCCAGAAAAAGCGGACCAGACGCCCCGGCGCTCGCGGCCGGCCGGGTCGCTCTCGGGGAGCCCAGCGCGGAAGGCGAGGGGCGCGAGCGGCGCGGGCGCGCGGAGGGATCGTCGCGGGAGCCGTTGGGGCTGTTGGCGCCGAGGCCGAGGTGCGAGGGCGGACAGGCTCGGGGCTGAGGGACGTGGGGCCCGGCGCGTGCGGCTGGGAGGCGCTGTGGGGCGCGGGCACGCGGGCGGCGGCCGGGGCCATGGCCGAGGGCGGCGCGGGCGCGCGGAGGAGGGCGCCGGCGCTGCTCGAGGCGGCCCGCGCGCGCTACGAAAGCCTGCACATCTCGGACGACGTGTTCGGCGAGTCGGGCCCGGACAGCGGCGGGAACCCCTTCTACAGCACCTCGGCCGCCTCGCGCTCCTCCTCGGCCGCCTCCTCGGACGACGAGCGGGAGCGCCCCGGCCCCCTGGGGGCCCCCGCCGCCCAGCCGCCGCGCTCCGCGGACGCGCAGGGCCCGGAGGACGACGAGGCCGGCGCGGGCTGGAGCAACGCGCTGCGGGACCGCCCGCCCCCGCACTTCGAGGACACCGGCGGTAAGGGGCGGCCTGCGGGGCGGGGTGCAAGGGCGCGGCGCTGGGACCCCCGCTTGGACGGCCGGGGTGCTGCGCCCGGAGGGCCGTGGGCACCGGGGCGGACGAACTCCAGATGCCCCCTGGGCCGGCTTGACTGGCAGCTGCGCCTTTGAGGAAGCAAATGCGGTTTTGGGAGCGGGGATTGAGTGGGAAATTAGTTTCGCCTGGGGGCTCCACATCCGTGGGCGGAGGGGATGAGACGGAGGCCGTGGTCAGCGCTTCGCCAACGAGGAGGGTCTGCCTCCCCTTGTTGGAGTGTCCCCGTGTGCTGCCCTGGAAGCCAGTCACACCTGTGGGATCGGACTTTAGGGGCCGCCTAAAGTTAGGCTATCCTAGTTGCGGGATTCTGCCAGCCTGTCTTGGCTGGGGTGGGGGAGAGGAGGTGGGAGCTGTTCTGCAGTGATGGCCCCAGAGCAAGCCTTACTCAGGTGACCGGCTGAGGCAGGTGGCAGTTGGAGCGCGGCTCAGTGAGAGATGAGGGAGGGGCCAATCCATGGCGTCTTTACTGGGCTTAGTGTTCTGTTAACCTGAGAACTTTCCCTTGCTAAGACCGGGAGGAACCAAGGGACGGATTCAGCAGCGTTAATGCAGGTGCACGCTCTTCCCCCTGCAGGTACTTTACCTTGTGCTCTACCTACCACTGCCCAGCCTGAATACCTGGAGAAGGTGGCTGAGTGCAGGCAGCTGCGGCTGCCCCAAGGCTTCCTTACTGCTTGTTTTTGTGGGAATTGGCTTTATAAGACCAGTACTTACTCAGCGTAAGCTCAGCAGCCTCTGCCTTCTTTGAAAGGTGGAGACCAGCCATCTGCAGCCACCCTCTGATGCTATTTTCCTTGCTCCACGGCCTTCTGGGGCAGGCTGGCGCTCCTGCACACCATGTTCTTCCGTGGAAGTGCATGCAACCAGTGTTGATAAAGGCCAGGGAGTGGCATCTGTGGGCTTGATGCAGCTTTTCCTGTGGCTTTCTCTGATTATTGTTCAATCTGTCAGGAACATGGCACACAGAAGAGCAGGCCCAAGGCACCTCTGGCTGGTGCTGGCACTCGGATCTGGACACGATGTTGCAGCCTGCTGGGAGGCTGGTAGGGCTGCGTGGACTCTGTGAGTAGGGAGTGGTTTGCAAACCTTCGGCAGACTGCGGTGTAGGTGCACGGAGCTACGGCTGGGCTTGCAAAGTCCGAGTTAGCTGTGCAGCGCTATGGGGTGGGTAAATTTTAAAGCATGAGCGTTTGGGCTGTGGTTAAGAGTTTGGGAATTTTCAAATTCACTCACTCTATGTGGTCCTTTTATACCACCATACATTTTCCAGAATGTCATTAAGTTCTTCCTGCCCCGGACAGCTGTTTTCCATATAGCCTTTTTAAGAATTATACCAGTGCAGTGCTCTGGTTTGGCAGACTCTATGCCTTGAGTATTTGTGGTACAGTTTTGGTCTTGGGACATTTGAGATACAAGTCCACCTGGGAGAATATAGCAAGTCTGTCTATATCTCAAGGCAAAATAAGGAACTCGTGCTAGGTTAAGCCTGGTTATGAATAAGAATCATGAATGTGCTAGTGTGAAAAGGGTGAGAGCGTTGAAATACATTTAAAAGCAATCTGTTATTTCTTGGTAACCTTTGAATTGGTGAAATTCTGCAGCACAGACATTTAATCTGGCCACTGCAGCACTTACGGTCGTGAAGAGCAATATTGTGTGTCGTTTGGCATTAGGTTCAAATTCTGCTTCCTGCAGATGCCCACTGAGTTCACACCTGGACCTCAGAATCACAGTGAAGCCCTTTAACCAAAAACTTTAGTGGTTATGTGTTTTTTATACCCAGTTTCGTTTTCCTGTTCTGTGTGGGAGCTTGCCTTTTAAATCCAGTTCTAATTTAGAATTTCTTCTTTGCAAATTTCTCCCTGAGGGAAATTTGGGGTGAGACGGGTGGAGAGATGAGGTTGATGGCTTATTAAGCTTGAATTCAGATTTCCCTGAAACATTGGAATATGGCTTATGGGGGTTGAAAATAGATGCAGAAGTATGGGGTTGGCCAAAGAAAATATTCGCACCTACCAGCGTGAAGAGAGATGGATGTGTTTGTCAAGAGGCTGAGAGCTGCACCCCAGCCGCTCTGAGAGCCAAGAGGTTCAGCCTGCTAGGTTTACCAGAGCGCAGTATCTAAGACACTTCAAAAAGCAAGCGTTCCCTACTTGCAAGGAATGCAGCCTGGATCTCTCTTCCATCTTTCTTACCCAGTTTATAAACAGATCTCACTGGGTGGGTAGAGTGGGGTGGGGAGGAAAGTGAGCTGGTGGCATTTCCATCTGTAATCAATCAGGCTTTATAATAGAAAATTTGTAATCCAAATAGCTGTTGCTTCTGGAATCAAATGAGGAAAGCACAGGATTCTAGATTTATTGAAGCTTCCTATTTTGCTCCCACTGTGAAAACAGGTGTACATGTATGTACATAAATGTGTATTTTATGTAAATATGCATGTAAGTAAATGTGTATATGTAACTGTATCATACATAAGTGTGTTTTGCTTGTGCTAGTTTGGACTAAGTAGGGTTTTTTTTTTTTTAATCAGAAAAAGATTATGACTGCTGTCTCTGAGCTCTCAATGACCTAGAAACCTTTGCAGAGAGTGCTGTGCATGAGGGAGGTAGACACTGAGGACCATTGTGCATTGAGCTGTAGTTGGAGCCACCATATGTCTCGCCCTGTGGAGGGAGTGCACACAGTAGGGATGCACTTGGTGCCCAGCTGAGAGGAGGAGGGGAAGGAATGCAGCAGTACTATATCCTATGCCAGCCCTAATAGCAGCATTTCTATAGTTAAGGTTGGAAATCCCAGCCATTCCTCAGGCTGTTCTAGTGTTCCCCTTCACTTCCTTCTGTTTTCAGCATATTTTGCTTCCTAGATCAGCCTCTCAGGAAGTGCAACCAGCGTGGAGAAGGGCCTCTGCCACTCCTTTCTTATGTCCCCCAGGTTCTGGCTGTGCTTTGAGGTGTGGGTCCCCTTGGGATGACTTAAATACAAGCCCTGCGCTTGCAGGGCTGGCTTGACAGGCTCTTAACCCTCGCATGGCTGGGGGTCAGCCTGGGAGCTGACATGCTTACTGGGAGTGCAGAGCCCATGACCCTCCCTGAACCAGACTTGCTGCACATCCTTCTAGAATAGCCCCTCAAACTGTCGGCCTTGCCTGCCCACTGCTGATGACCAACACAGCATGGGAGCTCACTCTTTAGAAACAGCGTGGAATTCAGGCCTGGCTGCTTTTTGAGTCTCTGCCCTTTTGGTTTCTTATTCTGAGCAGTCTTGTGATTCGGAGGAGGCAAAGGAACTGACAGATTCACAGATGCTCAAGGACTCTTGTCTGCTTGGCTCTGTTGGTCCTTTGTCGTGACTGACTGAGATCTGAGCTGTTCGCTCTTTCTATTAGAGATCGGACTGCATAGAAGAGATTCTGTTTGTTGTTTTGTTTTTTTGCCCATGCACCATATTAGCAGCCCTCTCATCATTCAGAGGCATGACCTTGAGAAGCTGGAGAGGAACATATGGCTTTGGAGATTGGCATGGTTGAATGTTTCATCTTTAGAGTTTGATTTATGTGATTTAAAGTCATTTTGACAAGAAGAGAAAAAGGGGTTTATAAGCTCAGAGACCTGGAGCCCTGTCTGTGGTATGAAGTATAAGCAGCTGCTGCTATCTTTAGCTCTGTGCCACGTTCTGTGGTTCCAGGGAGATCTTTGAATCTTGGTGAGCTAAGGCAATGCTACGTAGTAATTAAGCTCAAGCTGGTGTCATCTTGCAGTGGCCACACAGAACTCAGAGAAGGGAGCTTCCTGGGAGAGCTGTTTTGCTCTTTTCCCGGGAGTCTGTTCATGTCGGGGTGAAACTTGAAGTTGCTGCCGCTGCTAACAACGACAGTTCTCATTTGTCACTTGCTTCTTCACGCATTGTCACACTGAATCTTCACTAGGACTCCGTAGCAGAATACTTGCTGTCTCCACAGAGAAAGGACGGATGTTTGTTTTTGGTCAGAGTCTGGGGGTGATGAGATTATCTGGTTAAGTGATCACTATCCAACTAGTCAGACTCAATAAGTCAGGAAAGGGAATACTTTTTTTTTTTTTTTTAACTAGAACCTTTTTTCAGTCAATATTTATTTTCATAGTTAAAAACAAATTGCTTTTAACTTTTTTGGGGAAGGGTATATAGTTCTGTGAGCTTTAACACATGAATGGATTTGTGTAATCAACACAACAATCAGGATACAGAAGAGAAGATTCTAGAATTTTATCTAGCTCCTTATTTAATCCTTGCTACCCTTGAGCCCTCCTAGTGGGAGCTTAGAGTTGTTTTGCAGGAGGTAGAGCTTTGAATACACTGGAACAGAGTGGTTTACTTGAGATCTAATTCTCAATTTTAGCATCCGAAACTCACCTTTATTTTTAAGAGCTGTGATTATATATTTTTTCTTACTAATAAGTAATATACATTTATTTTAGAAAATAAAAAAATGATTAAAAATTTAAAAATGCTATTATCTTTCATTACCCAGAGATAACCACAGTTGACATACTGAATATATACTTCGTATATCTTAGGTTACATATTGTTGGGTTACCTGATTTTTAATTATAATTAATATATTGTGAACATTTTCCATTTAAATTTTACTGAATCTGCAATACTCTGGAATTCCCTGTGGTTAGGACTGAGTTTATTGCCCCACTTTTTTCCCCCTTTTTTTGCTATTAAATCAATGCTATGATGAATATTATTGAAGCTTAAGTTTGTGTACACATCCTTAATTTATTCCTTAGCATGAAATGATCAAATAGAATTGAAGTAAGGATTTTACACATTTTTCTTTTTTTTTTGAGACAGGGTCTCGCTCTGTTGCCCAGGCTAGAGTGCTGTGGCGTCAGCCTAGCTCACAGCAACCTCAAACTCCTAGGCTCAAGCGATCC